GTTTTTTTTTAGTCGGGAGTTTTCGATATTCTTCACTACGACACAGTAGAAATCCCGGTAGTACAGTCTGACGGTAGTTTGAATTATGCAAATCAGTGATAACTGTTCATAGCGCGGAGACGTTAATGTCTGGACACAACGGAGATAAAATAAAGTAGGATCACGTATGGCGTTATAAAGCACGCTCTTCTTCGCTTCCAGCAGTTTACGTTTCGAGAAGATTTTGATAGGCGGACGATTTTTTTTATCTCGTATACGCGTCTTCTTATTTCGTCTCATCCACTTATGAATACGCGCTCATAGACACTTCGGTATTTATCATGGGTGAATCTAAAGTTATTATTTTTTTTTCTTCCTTTTCTCTTTCCTTATATCTTTTCGTCTTCTCTCAATCGTCCGACCAACGAAATATTTATAGAGCCGCAAGTTTAATCGGCCTCGCACGTAAGAGATACAACGTGTATTTATTCATTTCCACTAGCACCTACCTACGGACGTTTATGAGAACTCGTTATAAATTTTTGACGACGAGGTAAACAGGCATTGGGAAATTTTTTTTAAAGCCAAAAAAAAATATCGAAAGTAGATTCGTTCACCTGTCGGTTATATCAGGTATTTTTGGAGATAAATTCAAATTTTACCTTTACCCTTTCTGTCAGGTTGATGAGGAAATTGTTGATGAAATATTTCAAAAATGATACGTAATATACACGAAAAAATATAAATGAAATTATATGAAATATATTCAAAATATAAATAAGGCATAGTAAATATCGTACAACACATATCATGTATTATATAATACAATAATTATTTTTTGTAACTTTTCCTTCATTAACACGCCATTAAAAAATTGCTTCAAAACACGCGCCTCGATGATCGTCTCAACGAAATCCGTAATGGTACTCGTAATAGGAATGCTGGGCATAGTCAAAGAGGACAAGGATTGAAAAAAGAAAAGATAAAAAAACATCTAAATGAAAAGATAAAAATTAGCATTTTAAATCAAGCACCGCAGGATCCCCCTCAATCAGGCCTGTCGTAATTCGTTTATTATTAGTGGCGCACGGGACTGCGCTCTATTCGCTTGTCCGTAGTGCGCATGCGCGCGCTGCTCATACACACGGTATACAAGATTAATCGTCATTTTCAGTGTTTGTAATTATTTTGAGTGATGCGTGACGGTGATGCTGGGGGTCCAGTTTATTGTGTTGAGGAATCGTGGAACTCTCTCGCCTCCTGCGTTCTTCTCAGCGCGCGCGCGCGCGCATATCCATGCATATATGTATGTATGCGCGCAAGAAAGCGATAGCTGGCATCTTTCGTGCCGGCCCGGCTCGGATCATCAATCTACGTCCCGTGAGAGAGGACTTCTCTCAGGGCCCAGGACCTCGCCACGTGTTACCTGTAGCGTCTGCTCAGGGTCTCTCATCTTCTCAATCTCATATAAATCTCTTCCGAGATCCATGGGACACCGTAGGTTTTACACGGTTGACTATGGTGACCATGGTATAGGCACGATGACGGACGTGCCGTGAACGGCGTAGATTTCAAATTCGAGACGAATCGGCGAAAGTGGGATTTTAATGAATTTTTGGAAAAGGTTAAAATTTCGAAATAAGTATAAATATCGATACAACTTTTTACATATAACTGCCGATAGACCGTACTACGTAATCGTATTGCATTTTTCTTGATGTAACGATGAAATTACGGTTTTTTTTATTGGATCTTAGGAATTTCGTAAGATACAGATTTTTCGTGCTTTTCTGATCTTGCTCCTCGATCTTTGACCCGTCTTGTTTAGTCTATCGGTTATTTGCTTGTATGCAGGAATAATTGTTGATAGACTCGACTGGTGATTATTAGTATTTTTTTGGATTGATTTTTTTAGGACTTTGTTTAGTAAAGACGATTGGACTTTTTTTCTTTCACTTATCTCATTTTTAAAACTCTTGATACCATCGCTGGTAGCACTTGGAATACAGTGTAAGCCTACGACGTCATCTCGATATAAGAACCCAACCGGCAATTCTAGAACGTTACTATACCGATATAGTCGGTACCAAGTAACGGTACCAAATCTACATACTATAGAAACACGTTACATCCACCATAGTGGGACGTTATCGAGAACTGCATCATGCTAATTTCATGTTCACGTAGAGGTGCGCCATAAAGTAGTGTCTCCACATGTTCGCATATGCTCTAAAATCCCAAAAAAAGACCCACGCAGCCCTAACAAAGTTCAAATTTCTCCCTAAGAAAAAAAAAATGGGTATAAAACCCACTGCCATAAAAGGGATCGATAAATCCGATAATGACGACTACCAACGGCGACCCGGAACCGCCGAACGGGATGAAAAAAATAAAAAGTAAAGGGTTAAACGAAAGAGATACGGAGTCTTGGCGATAACGAGAATGAATCATCGAGATATCTTTTAATCTGGACAAGCTCACCCGCATCTTCAAAACAAGTTTATCTCATTTTGCGTGTCACCTCGACGTCATTGTATAATCCCACGTCGAAAGTCAAGTTGAGAACACGAAGAATAGGGACATACTTGAACATAGGTCCAGTATGGTCCCTGACTACACACAGGGTACCCAGGTTTATAGGCAAGTCCAGGCGCACACTTGTCGACCTGGGATATACCGTATAGAACATAAATAGTACATTGCTCACCTACGATGAAGGTTAGGCGGGTTGTTAGGTAGATAAGTACATATAGGCAGTATAAGGTATATGAAATTCAAAGAGAAATGGTCTGAGCGATGATCTCGCGGCAGAGAAAAGATTTGTCCATTGGTTTCATCGTTCCTACGTTTCATCCGAGGTCCGTACCTTCGTTCCCTCATTCCACCTTTCGTACCTTCGTTTCCTCTCTCGGCGTTCGTTAGCTGCGGGCGGAGGTTGGAATCCAGCGTTCTTCTCCCAGCAGGGCGCCATTTCTCGTCCCGGGTCTTTGAGTCCTGGACTCCAGACTCTATAAGTACGTGTAAGGATCCACCTTCAACCGTACGAGCCTACCTTCTCGACCTTCTCAACCGTCTCAACCTTACTCGATCGCCATGGCCTGAGCCGTTTCAAGTCTCGTTCCCGATATCCTTCCTTGGATGATCTTCGATGTACCCAGCATCCGTGTCCTACGTGTATTCGCGCACAGCTCCGACCCCACCGGCACCCCCGGTCTGGTCCTATACGCTTCGATGGGTACCCGCAATTTGTTGATACGTCCTGGACCAGACCTCATGGACCTTGGAAAATGAATGATGACCTCAGCGCCGGTTGGTCAGGTCCTAGAGAGTCGTATTAACCCTGGTCCAGGTAGTCAATTTATGAGTTTTCACGTCTGTTACATATTGTTATACACGTTCCATGACGATTATCTGTATATGATTTGATCGTTAGATCAGGATATAGATAACCGTCGCAATCTTTGATCTCTGTACTTGGAGATCAAACGGGACTGTTTGACTTTCTTGGAGGCTGAACTTGGATGGGTTAGCGAAGTTAACGGGTCGCGTCGAAGAGGATCGATTCATTTCTTCCTGGCTTCGTCCATGCTCACACGTGACCTTACGTGGTCAGCTGATAACCAGACTAGGTACCAGTTACCTGTTACTGGTTTACCTCGATTTCAAATATTGTCTATTTCTGTCAGACTGACTGTCGTGATAGCCAATCACTTGCAGCGGTCATTCGCAGTTCTGAGGTTGGTACAACCTCTCGGCATGGACTTCAGACGCTACCACGTACCACTCAAATATCAAATGGGACTGACGTGCGTACAATGAAGATCGAAGTGCCATATAAAGCCAATGGCGCTTATTATTTTATTTTTCAAATTCTATGCGCATGCGCCTTACCTACATCATCCTTTGACTGAGTCCCTAGTTGCGTCATGCGTTACCGGCTTGGTCCATTGGCTATCCTGTTGTCGTTGGCACTGGCCAAGAGTCGGGGCCTTATGTTTGTCAGTCGTTAATATTTGTACATACTTCAAGATGAATGTGAACGACACGGACCAGCCTGTGTGTAGGTGCTGTATGTGCGAGAGCGTCATCTTGTCAGCATCGCCAGGTGTTGGTCCATCCACGGTCTACCAAGAAATCCGTATCCTACTGCCTACCTACCTTCCTACCTTCTTTTTACCTATCTACCTTATAGCCTGCCTCGTATGGGAGCACACTTTGTACTTACTTGCATGTGGCTCCTCACCTGTCTCTACTGCTCTGCCATGTTCAAAGACCCTGGACGACCTTGCCGATTACACTTGTAACCCTACGCGAATAGTTCGATATGCCATCTGTGCTAGTTGAATGATCTATGGCGATCAAGGCAATTTCTTTTATAGATATCGTAATCGACTGTGGAAAAGATCTGGCGAATTTAAAATCCGGGATTATTCGATAAAAATTAGGCTTGATTTGGGTCATACCTAATTTTATGGATTTTTCAGTACAACTTAGGCCGTTTGGATCTTAGTAGCGTAATGCAAATCGTTGAGGAATAATAAATGAAACAGCAAAACTACTCGGCGAGAGAGAGAGGGTACACCGTGTAATTTATATGGACCGTCGATTCGAATGGCGTATGACGTAACGCAATCGATTCGCCATAGTGCCTTCATGTTTTCAATGTATATTCCCCATGGCGCGATGTTACGTCGAAAGGTCTAACCCGCATCTACGTTACGCCGTGCCGTACTCGCCGATGCGTGACTGCATCGATAAGCGTAAGAAAGTAGGATGCGAAGCCGAAGTGAAGAGTCCGTGAAGAAACACGTTGGAATGTGGGAATGGCTATCGTTCGGAAGGGGGTGGTAACCGGTGATATCTATATACAGTGTAGCCCACCAGCGCCATCTGGATTGGCACGTAACAATATTCCTCAACAATGGAACGAAACCAATTTTGGCTTTCGTTGTTTCTTGTCCGTCGTTTACGTCGTGCTTCATACACAAAGGGCTAATCAGTCTTGGCCTCTTCTGTTTCAGCCGTTCAACGAGGGAGGGTGCCACCGTCGCAGCCAGCCATACCAGGCCTACCTGGACAATTTTCATTGACCAATGGCGACGCGATCGCGTGCGCCAGTCTAAACGGACACTCGTATCTGTCGTCATACATAAATTTGCTACTAAGGGCGGAACCGTATCCAACCTCGCGATACGGGCAGTGCTTACAGACGAACAATATTATGGGTATCGAAAACATATGCGAGCTCGCGGCGCGTCTTCTCTTCTCGGCCGTCGAGTGGGCGAGGAACATACCGTTCTTCCCGGACCTCCAGGTGACGGATCAGGTGGCTCTTTTGAGGTTAGTCTGGAGCGAACTCTTCGTCCTGAACGCCAGTCAGTGCTCGATGCCCCTACACGTGGCGCCACTATTGGCCGCGGCCGGTTTACACGCCTCGCCTATGGCCGCCGATCGCGTCGTCGCCTTCATGGACCACATCAGGATCTTCCAGGAGCAGGTGGAGAAGCTCAAGGCGCTGCACGTCGATCCTGCGGAGTACAGCTGTCTCAAGGCCATCGTTCTCTTCACCACAGGTAAGGTTCTGGTCAGTGGTGCTGACAAAATTGACTTTTACTTTGCGACGCTCTACGGGCACGACCTTATTGCGTCACTCGTTATCAACGGTACTTGATTAGGGTTATTTTCATCGAACTTTAGAAGTCATATATGTTTATGTGTTGGTATACCTTAGTTCTTAGATTTTAAGTGGAATAGGTAAATTTGTTAATTTTAGTGGTTGGCGGTGTACGAGTCTGTCTCGAGTTGTAATTTTTTATTGTAATCTTAGATAAAAAATGTACAGAGGATTTAGGTGATCGTTCTTGTAATTCAAATGTTCGCGCTATTAGAAATAACTTGTTGGATTTGGCTGTACTAGGTTTAGGATATCTAATAATCTTCGTGTCGTTCGAAACGTAGAGCGTCGCGGGACGCTCACACAGAACCTTACTAACACTTTAGATGGGCTCCTCTAATCTCTGGCGCTAACAGGCTGCCTGCTTAGCGATAGGCATCTCTGACAGTGAGATTAGCTGGTCTATCTAAATGAGGTACAAGATTCCCAAGGGAATCAATAGCTACCGGATAGTATATAAAGCGTGTTTATACCTAAATTAACAAGAAAAAAGAACAAGCCTGCGCAAACACCCAAATCCCCTAGTATCCCATGTAAGTCATTCATCTAGTCAAAATCATCTAACCGTGTTATCTAATAAAAACAAGTTTGTCCCAATTAAAAAATTCAATCTGTAAATCAAAAATTCCTGTAAGACTTGAAAAAATCCACAATCCCAAAAATATATCCTCAACACAAAGACCATTCGCAGATTTTTTTAGTCCCAAGTTAAAATTTTTATTCCCATCGGATCCGTCCCTAACTAACACGGCGTCTAATCAAACCGATAATATCGTTGACGTCGGTCGTCAAACACGTCCACGTCGGAGGTTACACAAACTAGAAATAGAACAATAGATTCCGCGGTGGACGTCGCCGATCGGCGTCCTGCCCAGTGGACAATGGCAGCGTCGGGTCCTGTGCCTTCCGATGACAACCACATCCTGACCAAACGCCGTTCCCTGGAGGCTATCTTCCTGGCCCATCTAGCCACCCTTGTCCCTCGCCGACAGAGATGAGACTAGAGGAGTTAGAACCAGAACTCACGTTTGGGTCACCCTCTCACGCACTTTCACCCACGTTAACCCAGCCCTCATGAGACTCACACGTAGGACCAGAGTCAGTCGAAGGGTCCGTTCGCATTTAGCCGAACTGTGCGTCTCTCTATGCTAAAACGTCTCCGGCGCAGATACCGGGGGCTATTTATTTCCGTGCTATATGGCCAAGCGCTCGCTTGGCTTATGCTAATGCCCCGATTCGGGATCCTTTTTTACTTCGGCAAGTATTTTCGTTCCTACTACTTTTTTCCTTTCTTTTCTGACCCCCCTCCTTTCCTTCGTATCATTCTTCTTATGTATTTTTTACCGAGCCCTCTCCCCACCCATCGAGAAACCGTCTGGGCTTTTTGGTGGTCTCCTCCATTCACTTGATAATACTACACTGAAGTTGGCTGGCAGGTGCATTCCTTTTTTTTTTTACTGATACATTACTTACTTCGGGTCTTACTGTATATGTCTGGTCGTAGTTCCTTATTGTGACAGTAATGGACTCCGAACATTGGATCCGGTTGGGCTTTCGGGGTTGGACCTTCGGTGACCGTATATTGGGTTTTGGTCACTGACCATTAAAGAAATGACTTTACGCGTATGCCTATCGGAGATTTGGGTATTTTTATCTCTCTCTCGAAAATCTGGGCTATCTTCGATTATACATCTAATTGTTCGTGTAAAATGGCGGAACGAGGGCACGGATGCATAAAGTACATTTAGCTTTGTTGGTACGCCACGTATCTTGCTTCAGCTTTCTCCAGGCGCACGGATACATACCCGGTGATCTAGCAGTCCTTGATCGTATATATATCGCTACAATTAAATCGACGTAACGTTCTACATTTTTTTTTACAAATCTGAAAATCCTAAAAATTCATGAAATAACCCAAAACAAAGTCTCCATGACGTGGCTTGAAAAGTAGCTGTATCCTTTCGTACGAGCTCAAGGAATCTCTTTGAATTACGTATCGCGCTACGTACTTTGGTATCTACCTTCGGGTGGCTGTACTTTCAGGCCACCCTGTATACACGTAAATGCATGCTGCAGATATATTTATGCGAGAGGGTATTATAGCCAGTACGTGTATCTTGATGGGAAACACTCCCACGATTATGTGGCATGCAATGCAATTCCCTTATGCCTTGCCCAACCATCGAGTTAGGTACCTACCTACCCACATGCACGCAAATACACCATCCATCCCACATATCTTAACACACATACAGACCCGATATCACGGGGATCTAATTAATCCGCAATTGAGTCTCGACGAAGCCCAACAAGCAAGTTGGACATTTTTGAACTTGACCCAGAACTCGATAGTCAATAATTCCCACTTTGCGTAATGACTGATATGAGAATTAATGGAGGGTTGGCGTAAGAGATGCTGATGGGAAGGGGGGGGGCGGGGGTCTTAAGATGGAAATTTTTTTTCACATATCCATATTAAAAGTACATTTAAAGTCGACTGCGAACCACTGGTTACCAAGCCTTTTAAGTACCGTCGGGATGTTTAATAAAATATTGCCACATCATTAATGTAGGCACTGCGCACGGCTTTGACTATTTTTTTTATTTATTTATTTATTTTTTTTTTACAATGGCGCTATCTCACTCACCCGACTCTATTCTCATCTCTCTCGCTCGCACGTTAGCTTCCCTTTACTATATGGCTCTTCCCATTTCTTTTTTTCCCTACAGAGCCGATGACTCGGTACATTCGGACAGGGCACTATTCAAGCCTAGAGCTCTGGCTGACATGACGCGCGGTGCACACCCACACCTGTCAGCCATCCCTGACGAGCACTGTCAATAGTAATTATACGTTAATTTCATCATGCAAATACTTCGATTCACTGTGCCCCGCCATATATATACTCTATCCTTCGGATCTATAGATCCGATCAATTTTTATCCATCCGAGAGAGCCCGAGATGCAGGGTAAGCCCGATCATCTTTTAATGCATGACTTCAGGTCACAATGGGTTCACATATCGATGTACACGTACGACGTTCGATATGGATTCGAAATTTTGGTTAGACCGTATATTTTGGATCCACTGATAATTTTGGGCTGGACAATAATTATTTTTTTCCTATACTCTGTCAATTGGGCACGGCTCCAGTGGCGTATCAATTGGGTGCTAATTGGGCTTATTGGGTGTCTGTTGTAAATTATAGACGTTCGTCCAGCGGGTTTAATACGAAGATGACCTTTGAACTTGGAATAATTGATCGGTGGTGGGGTACGAAATAATTGGAATTGCCATCGGAGCGGGAGGGGATGTTGAGGTCGTTTACAAAAAAATGGCGGATCACTCGTAGGGGGGAACCATCCCTCTTTCGATCTGAAATGTCACGTGGAGTAATCAGCGTCTATCACGGTGAAACATTCAGGCGTCCCGACGTCTTCTCGAGGCATTTGTCAATCAATCGGCTGCCTCGCTTCGCCATACTCTTTCAATCGTTGACCGATCGTAGAACGAACGGTTGGTAACACTGGCTGCAGATCCTCCGAGGTATCGGCAGGGAAGGCAAGGATTTCACGGACTGTACAGAGTCAAGATACAAAGCAAGAACGTATTCGAACGTTTGAAGTTCGAGAAGGAAAAATAAAAAGAAATAAGTACATAAGAGGAATTGCGAGTATCGGCACTGCTTTGCGTAATTGGACGTGAAACTCTCGTGAGAATCTTCGTATTTACCTTAACAGGCTATATATATTTATATACCTTTAACGAACCAATAAATTCGAATTAGACGGGGTGGTTCGAGGTGGAAATTAATATTAAAAAAAAAATATTACATTGGCACCACTGAATGTGACTAACGAAAATTTTCTAGTAAAAAAATAGATACTGGGTTACGTACTTTGAGACAATGAAAACGTCGACGCCAATGCATCGCATACGAGGGTAGCTGCTGCGTCAGTGTTGGTAACCATGACAAGGGGTGTTGGAGAGGGGTGAAGAATAGGGGTGGGGGTGTTATCTGTGAACGCAACTCGCGACCCCCGTTGGCTCTCTATCTCGCATTGTTACTCTCGGTGCAGGGTCGGGGTCGCATCCCCCCCTCCCCCCTGATTCCCAACCCTTGACTTTAAATGTTCCCATTTTCATTTTATTATCTGTCTTTTTTCATCCCCCTTACCGCCGGGACGCCTATGCCGTCTGTCAAAGCGAGAGAATGGCGCGGCGTCCGCAGTCGAGTGGTGACTACCCTTTCGAGTCATTCCGCAAGGATTCACAAGACATCCCTTAGTTCCACCAATCCGACCGCTTCATTCGGTTTTCGATTCCTTTTGGCACCCTCTTCTTCCCCCGGGGAACAGGGCGAAAGAATTTAAGGTCGTAGAGTGTTTTGTTAATTTTTTTTTATTTAGGGGGTGGTACGTCGATTTTTCAAAGACACACTTTCAAGGACTCCAGTAAATATCAACGCGTCAAGGCTGTAGAAATATCAACGGCTAGATGGGCTACGGATTCGCAGGGGGCCGTACCTCTATCTGTATGCATATTCCTTATCAGCATATCGCAGGGCAAGGGTTGCCCCGGTATTAGAGTAAGCCACGGTATTAACCCCGGAGTTTAATATAAACAGTAGTGTTTAAGGGGTGGGAAACCCACCACGTGACCGCCGGACAATGCCAGCCTTATCGACATCCTAGCTCGACCCGACCCGTTTCGCATCCCCTTTGCTTGCGAAATAAACTATGTCCCTACGTTTCTCCCCTTTTCCACCTTCTCATATCGCAATTCCCTGTTACATACGTACCTATCGCGCAGATAGCCATGAGCATAGGTATGCGTTGGCGTCAGTGATTTTTTGAAATTTTGAAAAAAAAAAATTTTTTTTCAAAATTATATTTTT